AAAATACGTGAATTATTTTGTTAAAATACATAACACAACGGGTAAGCGACCAAATGGTCAATTTGCTTGGGGGTGGGGTTCGGGTGTGTGTCTCGGCGGCAGCGGTTATATACTGACCAATTGTCACGTGGTTGGAGACTGGGGTCTGTGGTTCACCGAACGCTTCCAAGTGGACAATGAGGGCGACGTTCGAGGCCTCGGAATAAACGATGGCATAACGTATTCGCGTGTCATGTATTGCAGTCCGCGGTTGGATATCGCGATCGTTTACTCCAAGTGTACCGAAGCGGATGACATAGGACTCCAAGAGCTTGGGTTTAGTACACACGTTGGCCAACACGTGGTGTCCATTGGGAATCCTATGCTAGAGTTTTGCCTAATCGATGGTGTCGTCAATTGTGTGGGTCGTGAGGGCCGAACCCTTTGTGTGGACACTCACGAGTACTTTATGGTGTTTACCGACCCGACGGGTCTTCATCTGAACCACTCGTGTCCCATAGTTCAGGGGTTCTCTGGCGGTCCGGTGCTTAACATGAGTGGGCAGTTGGTTGGCATCAATTACGGTTCAATTGGTCATGGCACTTTTCGAGACACTTTTGGCATCAATACCGCAGATATCACGGGTTAAACATCACTAAATATTGTTGATTCAGATTTAGTAAATTAATTTAGTTTTGATATTACAGGCGTTTTAAACGATATGAAACTGTTTTCAGAGAAGAGATACACATATAGTGCGGAGAAATCATTGGGATTAGCGGTCATACCATTTACGATAGATTTGTGGTCACAGCTTATAGGACCACATATTCAATGCCCTATAGAAAGAGGGCTTTTTGTTTGGAGAAAATTGATGACCAATTCATTGCCGATTCCGTAATACTATTATTACATTAATACATTTATTTTAATTTAATTATTTAATTGGTTTATTAACAGCAATGAAATCAACGAATTTGATCTTATCGTTGGAGTGAACGGCCGTCTCATTAATTCTGTGAACGAATTGAGAGATTATTGCCATAATTGTAATCCCAATGAATTCCTCACTATATTTGTTATCCGAAAAAATGATATCAAAAACAAATTGAAATTTCAAGTCAAACCCCAATTCATTGTCTCTTCAGTTATTTAATGGATTTTTTAATAATTGCAAAATTCAAACATATGTATTGAATCTTATCATGATTTTTAATAAATATAATTAAAACATTTAACTATATTTTAATAACAGAAAACTTTTCTCGAGAGTTACCAAACATTTGTTATATTTATTGAATTTTGATACATTTTCTGTTAACATTCAAATATTTTAAATCAATTTATCAATCAGTTAATGAAATCATGTTTTTTAATTAATTAATTCAATAGTTTGTATTGCAATTAAAATTGTAGACAATGTTATCACTTATTAAATGCAATAAATGCAATCAAAGGATACACACTTGTTCACAAACTTTATTACTTTAATTAAAAATACAATAATTTATTGTTAAATATTTATCAAATAGTCTTCGGATAGTTTTGGCCACAATTTCATCCAATTATTTGTTTGAAAAACACAGAAAACATCAAAACAATCAAATTGTTGCGAATGTTCAACAAATTAGGCCAAAGTTTACTATCAGATCCGTTCACATGAGTGATGGCAAATACCTGACCATCGATGAGATCTATAGAAAATACATTAACTATTTTGTTAAAATAATGCATGTTACGAGTAAATATCCAAACGGCAAGTATATGGTTTCGTGGGGTTCGGGTGTCTGTAGCCAATACCGCAGATATCACGGGTTAAACATCACTAAATGTTGTTAATTCAGATTTAGTAAATTAATTTAGTTTTGATATTACAGGCGTTTTAAACGATATGAAACTGTTTTCGGAGAAGAGATATACATATAGTGCGGAGAAATCATTGGGATTAGCGCTCAGAGAAGTAACCCCTGATTTGTGGAAAGAGATGTTCGGACCAAATGCTAAATCTCCTATAAATGAAGGGCTTTTAGTTTGTAGAAGAGATATACATATAGTGCGGAGAAATCATTGGGATTAGCGCTCAGAGAAGTAACCCCTGATTTGTGGAAAGAGATGTTCGGACCAAATGCTAAATCTCCTATAAATGAAGGGCTTTTAGTTTGACGTAAATTAAACACAAATTCATCACAGATTCCGTAATTATATTTTATTATGTATTTAATTTAGAAATTGTTTAAATAATAATACATTTATTTTAATTTAATGGTTTATTTAATTTATTAATAGTAATGATATCGAAACTTATGATATTATCATTGGATTGAATGACAATCCGATTAATTCTGTGAAATAATTGAGAGATTATTGCAATAATTGTAATTCCAATGAAGTTCTCAATATAATTATTGTCCGAAAACTCGATATTGAAACAAACAAATTAAAATTTCAAGTAAAAACCCAACCCATTGTCTCTCCACTTATTTAATGGCTTTTCTAATGATTGCAAAATTAAAATACATTTCTTGACTCTTATTATAACTATAAACTCATTTCTTAATACAGTGCAACTTTTCTATAAGAAACGGTCAGTTTTACGGCAAAGTGTTTCTTACAGGGAAAGTTTCTCCAAGGGAAGTTTATATAAGATAAACATCATATTGTATTTGTTAATCTGTCAATCATTAAATAGTTTGTATGATAATAATTAACGGGGTCAGTTTGTTTTAAGATAAACTAATTCAGAACATAGATATTCAAAGTCAAATAACTGGTCCACTATTTTGCGACAATTTGATCATGAACACACAGGAAAGGGAGGGAGAGACAATGG